GTAGGAGCCCATTGGCATCCATGTACCGGCTAGCATTGTTGTGAGAGGCTGCATTCCACTTTGGTTAATTTTTTTGAAGATTCTTTCAAAGCATTTGCCCATTTCATGATGGGTGATTTACGAGCACACCTGCCCACACTGTGCTGAATGTTCAACAGTTTGTTTTTTTTTTTTTTTTTTTTTTTTACCAATAATGGCAGGATCCCTGTGTCCCATCCTCCCAGTCTCGCCCCAAACGACTTTTTTGTTTGTTTCCTTGTTGAAAATGTCCTCAAAAAAAAAAAAAAGTCCACAATAGAAAAATAAATAAATAAATAAATAAATAAAAATCCACAATAGAAAAATAAATAAATAAATATTTTTAAGGTCCACAATAGAAAAATAAATAAATAATTTCTAAAAGTCCACAATAGAAAAATAAATAAATAACTTTTTAAAAGTCCACAATAGAAAAATAAATAATTTTTTTAAAAGTCCACAATAGAAAAATAAATAAATAAATAATTTTTTTAAAAAAGAAAATGTCCTCAAAGGGAAACATTTTGCCAGTGTGGAAGAGGTGAAACAAAAAAAGTCAGAAGCACTAAAAGGCATCAACATTGACGAATTCAAAAACTGTTGAGAAGTGGAAAAAGCATCTCAGTAGGTGTATTGCATCAAATGGAGAGTGTTTTGAAGGTGACTGAAGTTTAAATATGCAAGAATAAATACACAATTTTTTATAAATAAATTCTGGTTCTTTGGGACCCTCCTTGGAAACAGAATCATATAATATATACTCTTCTGTCTGACTTCTTTCATTCAACATAATTACTTCATCCATGTTGTATCAATAGTTCATTCCTTGTTTGTTACTGACAGTACTTTGTTGCACTTATGTATACCACAATGTGTTCTTGTTTCTTTTCTGGTTTTGTTGTTGTTGTTGTTGTTGTTGTTTTGAGACAGTTTCACTGTCACCCAGGCTAGAGTGCAATGGTATGATTACAGCTCACCATAGTTTCGAACTCCTGGGCTCAAGCAATCCTCTCACCTTGGTTTCCCAAATTGCCTGGATTACAGGTGTGAGCTACCATGAGTAGCCCCATTCGCCTGTTGATGGATGTTTGGATTGTTTCTAGTTTTCACTATTACAAATAAAGCTGCTATGAACATTTGTGTTGAAGTCTTTGTGCAGACATATGCTTTCATTTTCTCTTAGGCAAATACCTTTAGTAGAGTTGCTGGATCTTATGGTCAGCATATGTTTAACTTTTTAAAAAGCTGTCTAACTATTTTCCAAATTGTTTATACCAGGGAGGTGTGGTGGCTGATGTCTGTAATCCTAGCATGTTGGGAGGCCAAGGTGGGAGGATTGCTTAAGCCCAGAAGTTTGAGACCAAATTGTTTATACCACTTTACATACCACGAGGAGTGTATGAAAGTTCCAGTTTTTCTGAATTTTTTGCCAACATTTACCATTTCGAATAAATGTTTACTGTAAACAATTTTTTAAGAAAATCATATAAAAAAAAAGCCCAACCCATCTGTTAACTGCACTACTGGGAGATTAAAAACTATTAAATTGTCATGTTTATGGATTTCTAAAATTTGCCCTCCTAGTCAGTGCTCTTGATTTTTTTTTTTTTTTTTTTTGG